CCCATTACCATCTGGTATACTTGAGATACCCGTACATATTCTTTGAACTGGCTCCACGGCCATGCAAGGTTTGAACCCAAACTCCCTGGCATGAGCAGCGTGACTTGCACCACCGCCGTGGGACGGCCCTTCCTTCGCTTCTAAGAACGCCATACGTACTTTCGTTCCAGCAAGCCCGTCTCCAAAGGTCTGGCAACGCAGGGCCACTTTGCCATTTCCCACTGCCAGGAAGCTGCCCCTTGTCCAGAGCCGAGAAAACGGGTCACCTGCCTGCCGCTGGGATGCAGGGTGAGGCCTCTCCTTTACTTAGATTTATACCCCACCCCTCTAGACCAGGTCTACTCTCCTGCTTCTGCTCGACCCATCGGTCACCTTGTATCTTATCGGCGGTTCTTGTCAGGCCGTAGATCCAGGCGCCACTTGACGACAGCGTAAAAATGCCCAGGCACGGTGGAAAAATTTTTTTTTTCCAACACCGTTCCGATAACACAGCTTCCCAACACGCCATCATGATGACAGGAGGGAGAAGCCACCTTCTCTGGTTCTTGGGCCAGGAGCTGAAGAATGCCCGGGATGGGGCTGGTATCGCCCACCCTGCTCCTCCTTCGTTCCAAAGATGGCAGGGGAGATTCCCCACTGGGCAAAACGCAAGCGGTCTTGGGGTTCAAGCACCACAGCTTCCCACTCAAGATCCCATAGACAGCCCTTGCCCACCAGCAGCCCCGAGGTGTCCTCTACTATAAGTCCCATAATCCCCATCCACCATGGCTCAGCCTGCCCCACAGTAGCTAAACTTCAGTAAGGGCCACTGAAAGGATTTTGCCTCCTTCCTGTTCAGCTCTCCACTGAATGTTCCTGCTCTACCTTCTGCTTATTTTTCTCAGGAAGCCTCCGTGGCTTCTCTCCTCCCTTCTTTGAACTTCATAATGAGCAGGTAAAGGAGGCCAGGCTGAGACAGCTAAATAAAGGCCCCAAATTGCCCAGACCATTTCGTGGTCCACTGGGGACCAAAAAGGATCTTCCAACCCCCCCCCCACACACACACACATGGGCACCCCTATCGATTAGGGAAACAATGGTGCCAGGCTTCGGGTACCAACGTTTTAAATTTTAGATTATGGGAACGTCAAGAAAAGTTTGGAAAGAAGTCAGGCAGTACTCTGTGGGTGTACATGCGTGAGGAGGGGTGCCCTTCTCAAGACTATTTGTTTATTTATTTAAAATAGTCTTAGCCTGCCTTTCTCCTTTAAAGGACCCTAGATGGCTTACACATCATTAAAAAGACAGTATTTAAAAGTTAAAAAATAACTGCCCCCCCTTTTTTTTGCAGCAGGCATTTAAAAAATTCCAAAGCTGCTGGGACCTGATCCTTCGACATGGCGCAAAACACAAACCATACCAAGAGGCAACACCCACACCCCACACCCCCCGGTTCCTCAATGGGCTTGGAGTCTCTGCACAATGCAAAGGCCCCTTCCAAGGGTCCCTGGGAAGATGCTGTATGAAAGAAAAAAAAGAAAAGAAACAATCCACTAGCTTTTCCAAACTTTTCCCCCTCTTTGTAACAATGGCTGCGTTCGAAACGGTGTAAAAAAATGAACGGACTGCCCTCATGTTTGATATTGAACTCTTTCACAGCTGTGGCCTCCAACGGACGCACCGATGGCATGAAGCCAACACGCCTGACCAAGAAAACAACGGTCCTTTTCTGGCGCAGCCGTCCCGCCTGTTTATCTCAGGGACAACTCGATGGACTCAAACAATGCAGGTGGCTCCATCCCAAAAGGTCTTCCTGTCATGACTGCTACACCAAGGGAGAGCCATCCACACACAAGAGACACATGGACCGGACGCTGCCGAGGTTGGGCTGGGGGAAGGCGAGCCACCGATAGGAACACGGTTGTCTAGAGGTTACGTGAAAAAGTACCTCTGGTGTCACAGAGGGAGAAACCGGGGCTGCAGAGCCGGGCAGCGCCATCCACAGAGTTGCTACATGCAAGGACTTCGAAATACCCCTACAGTGGGTAGGGAAGGAATCTCTTTGGAGCAGAACAGGCCTGGCTCATGATGATGGGGCAACGTGTCCACAGGAGTGAAGGATCTTTTAGAAGCCAGGTCCCATACCTGGGCCTTGAGAAAAGAAGACAGAGGGGAGAGAGGAGAGCACTCTTCAAAGACTTAAAAGGCTGTCCTGCAGAAGAGGGGCAGGATCTGTTCTCCATCGTCCCAGAGTGCAGGATGCGTAATCATGGGCTCAAATGACAGGAAGCCAGATTTCAGCTGAACGTCAAAAAAAGCTTCCTAACCGTTAGAACAGTAAGGCAACGGAACCACTGACTTTGGGAGGTAGGCAAGTCCCTCCAACACTGGAGGGACTCAAGAAAAAATGGGGCACCCGTTCATCAGACCTGCTTTGATTTGGATTCGTGCCTTAAAGGGGAAATCCTTGCAGGACTCAACGGCTTTGTAGGCCTCTTTCAACTCAATTATTCTACAATACACAACTGCAGACGACACCACTCTGATGGCAGAAAGCGAGGAGGAATGAAAAAAACTCATAATGAGGGTGCAAGAGTAGAGTGCCAAAAATGATCTGAAGCTCAACCTCAAAAAAACTACGATCATGGCCACTGGTCCCATCACCTCCTGGCAAATAGAAGGGGAAGATATGGAAGCAGTGACAGATTTTACTTTCTTGGGCTACATGATCACTGCAGATGGTAACAGCAGCTACGAAATTAAAAGATGAGCGCTTCTTGGGAGGAAAGCAATGACAAACCTAGACATCATCTTAAAAAACACAGACTTCACCTTGCCAACAAAGGTCTGCATAGTCAAAGCTATGGTTTTTCCTGCAGTGATGTATGGAAGTAAGAGCTAGACCATACAGAAGGGTGACCGACGAAGAATTGATGCTTTTGAATTGTGGTGCTGGAGGAGGCTCTTGAGAATCCCCTGGACTGCAAGGAGAACAAACCTATCCATTTTGAAGGAAATCAACCTTGAGTGCTCACTGGAAGGACAGATCCTGGAGCTGAGGCTCCAGTACTCTGGCTCTCTCATGAGAAGAGAAGACTCCTTGGAGAAGACCCTGATGATGGGAAAGTGTGAAGGCAAGAGAAGGGGACAACAGAGGATGAGATGGTTGGACAGTGTCATCGAAGCAGCCAACATGAACCTGACCAAACTCCAGGAGGCAGTGGAAGACAGGAGGGCCTGGCGTGCTCTGGTCTATGGGGTCACGAAGAGTCAGACACAACTTAAGGACTAAACAACAAGCCCAACCCTTCCCAGTGTGATACTCTCCAACTGTGAGGATGTATAGCACCCTAAATTCCCATCCCATGCATCTGGGGAAGAGGGCTGGACATCCCAATCCTCAGAGTGACTTTTTCCATTGCCCCAATCTGCCCCAAATGTCCATCATAACCAGACACCTTTATCACATCCTCCACACTAGCCAGTTTCCTCCATCAGAAACTGACTCTCTTCTCCTAATAAAACAATTGAGAACTGTTTATTTCTTAGATCTAAGCACAAGACAAACATACAACTTATAACAACACAAGAGACACACTTTGAGATCTTCAAGCAGCAATGTTCCGGAGCTCACAGCACACACACAGAGAAAGTTCACACAGCCAGATCTTCCCACACCGTCCCTGTGAACAAAAGAAGACGCACCCCCAAGGTGGGCAAGGTAGTTGAGGGCAAGAAACCCAGCCAGATCCATACTTGGGGGGGAACAGAGTAACCCCCTTTCCTTGTCCTTCTTTGGTTTCAGGGAGCCAAACGGGTCTGCCTCTTGTATGGGGATCTTCATACGCAGCCCAAGCTAACAAATGTCTGCCTTAACTGCATGCCTGGTAGGGCCATCAAGGGAGAAAGGCTGGCAAAGGGGCAGGAATCCCCCCCCAATGACTCCTGTGTAACACTGCATTCCACACAGAAATGATGATGCTTTTTTCTTTTTTTCAGGCAGTCCCTTTCCGGATGGTGCAATCACTCTGGGGTGACCCGGCAGACTCGGATGTGGATGGCCGAGTTGTTTCTGGTCCTGGCCAGCGGTTCATCGTTGTCACCCTCCGGTTCGGCCACGTCGGCAAGCTCCACCGTGGAGGTGTTGGCCGCCAAGAGCAGCGAACCGCCACCAGCCGCCTCCAACTGGAGGGCGATGTTGATGGCCCGGTTGATGGCCAGTCCCAGGCCATGGATGCAGATCTCGGAGTAGCCGCTCCCGGGGCCCAAGAGCTTCTGGCAGCGGCTCAGCTGGGCCTTGAAATCCGTCTTCATGTTGACATAGATGTCACTGCGGCGGCGAGGAAGACGGCGGGGCAGGCGCCGGCGCAAGGCGTACTCTGTCTCCGAGGGAGGGGCCGGCTCAGACATGATAGCTGTTGCGGGGGGGAGAGAGAAGGGTTGACAGCAAGAGAAAAGG